GTCATAGCCTGGCTGTCCTTGGCTTCCACGGACTTGGCCCAAATGGATTTCCTTGCCTCTAACTTCCTGAGTGGTGTTCGGAGTGATTTCCCTCAGACCTGCCATCCACTTCAGTGAGGTTCTCCTCAGTTAAAACAGAAACTGTTGTTACAGGTCCTTGGGGTTTTTAACTTTAATGATTACAATTCTCATTTCTATAATTTCCATTTTTTTCCAATTGGTTGTTTTTCAAAGCTTTGTTGTCGTTGTTGTTAATTTCTTCTTTCCTAATGGTTTTGATATTTTATATTTTTAAAATGCCTGTTTTATAGTCTCTTTGAGACTGTTCAGTCATCTTCAGATTTTGTTTGTCTTGTGTGGTTCAATTGTGTGTGAGTGCATGTGTGTGTGCCTGTGTATGTGTGTGGACATGCAAGTGTGTGTGTGCACATGTGTGCAGTCTTCTTGCACAAGCTCATCTTCAGTGGAGAGCATCTCCCTCTGGGAGGCTGTGTGCTGTGGGCTGTGAGGTACACGCCCTAGTTCTGCACAGGCATCCCCCTGGGTATCAAGCACTCTCCAGTCTGGACCATTTTTTTCCTCAGTCAGAAAGTCCCAATCCACGTCTCTATTGCAGTTTCAGATTCTGTCCCCGAACATGAAATACAAGACTGACTTAGTTTTATTCATAGTAGACACTTTTCCCTACTCAGAGCCCTGGGCACGGCAGAAACTTCCTAAATATCTATCGAGGTGACTAGATGGAGTTTTCTGGACCCCTTCTCATAAACCAGCAGCCACTCAAGAGTTCCGGCTTTTGGCTGCAACCTCTCCTCCCTCCTCCCCTTGGGTAGACTCAAGGCCATGTTTCTTATCCATGTGCCGGAATTAAAAGTCTAGCTTTTAGCCTCCTGAGCCACTGTGGCTTCAGCTCAAGCTGACCATTCTGATTTGAGTTCACTCATGTAAGAGTTTTCATTTCTCTTTTTTAAAAAATCAACTTGCACTAAAAAACATTAAAACAATTCTATTCCATCCCGGATCTCTCTGTAACCAGAGGAGTGGCTGAGTCAACTCAGCTCACCACGTTGCCAGAGTTCGAGCCCACATGCCAGCCTCCGGGAGCTGAATTCTGTCTTCGGTGTGTCAGAAATTGGTGGGGGTCTTGCTCTGAGCCAGCTGATAAGCTGGAACCACAACAATGCTGTCCACTAACTTGAAGCATCCCTGCTCCTGGGACCTCTGATGCTGAATTCAGCCCACTGACTATATCTGTGTCCACCCAGTCGTGACTCCTCCCTTCCCCTCTGCAACCCTACAGGTGGCCAGCTAAGTCCCCTCTGGAGAGCCAGCCACTGAGGGCACACGTGAAGAGAGGCACGTGGCGGGTTGGAGCTTCTTTCTTCTTCCTGTTCAGGCAAGCTGGCTGGACAGGCACCTTTCAGCATCTAGAATCCTGTAACTTGGCAGGTGGGGATCACAAATCCCTTTGGGGATCTGAAGAAAACAGCTCATTCTGAGAAAAAATACCCATGTACAGACACTTCTGCCTGATTTCAGAGAGTCATTAACCCCCTGAAGTCCACGTTGAGAAATTCTGCTTTGGAGGCTGATTGTTCTTTGGTGAATTGGAAACCCTAGTTTGCCAGCCTTATTCAAATCAACTCTAGTGGAAAAACCTTGTGAAAATGAGACCCTGTGACAAAATGACAATCGTTCAGCTTTTCACTCCTTCAACGCCAGCTGGAAAGATGACAATGGCACCCAGAGTGATGTCAATAATTAGTGACAATCTCCTAGAAAAATTTCTGCTTCAAAGAACATTATATTAAATAATTGATGGTCCCAGAACATAATTTCCTCCAATACTCCTTTCTGACTCAAACCTATGTCATCTACTGGGCAGAAGAATCTTCATGAAATAAGACAGGCTGACACACATGGTAGGATTCAATTCGGGGTTGAGATTCCATTTCTAGGTTTGGCATCTAGCTTTGCTTTGAACCATCTAGTGGCTTTGGGAAGTTCCCCATCTTCCCCAGTGTCTTTTTCCTTATCTGTGAAGTGAGGAAGTCAGACTAGATCAGAGGTGGACACACAAAACCCACCAGCCAAATTCTGCCTGTTGGCTGTTTTTGTAAATAAAGTTTTGTTGGAACAGGCGATGCTCATGCGTTTCCATATGATCTGCGGCTGCTTTCATGCCGCAAAGGCAGAGCTGAGTAGATGTTTCAAAGACCCTATGGCCTGCGAACCTAAGAATATGTCCTCTCTGGCCTTTTCCAGAAAAGTGCGCCTAACTTGCATGGTCTCCTCACCCTTTCCACCTTTGGAAGATCTGTGATTCTCAGAGGCAGAGAATATAACCCAGGCAAACCGAAGGGCACAGGTGGATTAGAAGCAGGTCATGGATGAGCCCAGACACGTCACACTGTTGTTCTGTTGAAGCAGCTCCCGCGACAGCTGTGGCTGACCAAAGCCTAGTTAATCGGCAAGTGGAACTACTCAAAACGTCAGACTTCATGGGTGCAAATTGTTTCATAATCCAAACACTCAATGGTTCAGAAAGACCTTCTCCCAGTGTATGCAAATCAGTGATGCTTTAAAAATGTACTTACTCCGATGATCTGATCATGAATCAATCCAGTTTAGGGATCATGGACAGGATAGCATATACGATCCCTTCTGCCCGACTCAGATCCTGTCTGGGGATGAGCTAGAGCGTAAAACAACCAGCCAAGAAACGAAGCTCTTCTGGCGTGGATGATACACCTGACTGTGAACATTCTGGGCGGAACATTCAGGAGACTGATACATTTTTAGGATCTGTGTTGTCCAAACCACGCTTTCCAAACATCATGGAGCTGAGAAGTCACTGTGCCGTCAGGGCACAGACGTCCCAGAGGCTAGGGTTTCCCACTAAGTCAGACTTTCAACAATCTCATTAGCTTGGTACACTTTTTTTTTTTTTAATGAAGAGACCTTGTGTGTGCTAAGCATGTGCTCTACCACTGAGCTATACCCTCCTCCTAGGAACATATCTAATTTTTAAACTGAGTCTCCTATTCCTCTTCTTTTTATTCATCCAAGGAGGGATTATTCAACCTAAGTGGTAAGAATAGTTTTTGTGAAAATAACGTATTTGAAAGCACTAAGCCTCTATGTTAAGTGCTGGAAAATGACACAGGGGCCCATCCCACAGGTGCTCAGAAGTTCAGGTCCAGAGGAGCGGAAAGGTCTCCTGTCACTGAAGTAACTTTACCTACGCTTTCCATCTATCCGAACCCTCAAACTGCTATCGCCCTTCCTCTTACGCAGCATCTTTGCATACAGCCACTTCTGTGTCTTGGTGCAGCAGAAACAGCATATTATTATGTGGGCTTCGTCCTAACTGACCCTGAGAAGTGCTTTCCAAATTACCTTGAAGAATCTTTCTCATCTGCTATTTTGCACTAATGGTGGCAATTAGAACAAATTGCCCCAAATGATAGGACAAGTGATGTCAAAGGACCCAGTGTTTGAATCCCTCTCCACTTCCTCAAATCACAGGGCCTTTGGACCCCAGCTCAGCTGGTATGGCTCCTCAGGGTCATGGCTAGAGCTGGGAACATGAATGCAAGATCCTAGGGGGTGAACAAAACTGAAGTCAAGTTTCTCCTTAGAATCATGAAGAGACCTCCATGAAACTTGGATGTTAGGTGAACTGGGCACAAAATCCCAAGTGTGGCAGTCTGGGGAGTCCCTGGCCATCCACACAACGGCTGTTCTGGCTCAGAAATTTACATTCTGCTCCCTTGTAGCTACCACAAGAAATCTGACTTCATCACATAACATTTTTAGTTTCTGATATTCTTTTTCTGGAAGATTCTAAGCATCATTTCATGTGTCTCACACTGCATTCCTCTGCCTTCCTCCTCGCCCTCTGCTTTAATTCCTTTCCCCAGGAATTGTGGCTGACGCTCTGTCTCCAAAAGGCCTCCTTTCTCATGGGTCGTGGTGCCATCTTGCTCCCCTCCTCCCCATGCCACCATTTTTTCAGCTCATTCTGGCTGAAAAAAAAATTCTCCATCACTCTTGCTATTTGGGAGCAAAAGCAAGTGGGGAATGGTCTAGAGGAGCGCTTTTGCTGCTCACAGCTCTTTTGGGGATGGAGCAAGTAGCTGGGATGGGGAGTAGGGTGGACACGTGACCTCATGACAATTTAGACTGTTCAGAACTTACTAGAGAGTCAACACAGATGAGGACAAAGGAAGAACAGAGAGTGTGTGATCTGCATCACTAACCATGGGTCTGCTGCCTTTGAATTTCTTTCTTTTTTCTAGTAAAGAAACGTATTCATTGCCTTGCTTGGCCCTGGATCACTGGTCTGCTCATAGGCCTGCTATGAAGTTCTTCGTTCCAGCGTCTATCTCTGTTCAAATCTGGGTTCTATATTTTACTTTACTGTTTATGTTTTCCTATTCAACTTCCTTGTCTAAACTTTGTTGAGTTCAACTTCAGCCTAATACAGCTGTTAACACTTTCTAAACTAAGTGTTGGCAGTTTGCAAAGTTCAAACACTAAATTTATGAATGTCCCTTGCACCAAAATGGCTGTCCCTCTTGCTTATGGGTGGCACGATCTGAACCCCTGGAGAGAAATTCTCTCTTCTCTGTGAAGTTTTGGCAGTCGGAGGAGGGTTCCTTCCATCCAGCTCTTTGAGTCAGACTGATTTCCCATAGAAACCATTGGACGTGGTGGTCTAGCTCCCAGACCAGCCTACAGAAATGGCCCACTTAATCCATAACTGAAAAGGAATTAAAAAAAAACAGCTTATAAACAATGTTTCTGCTAATGTGTTTTTATTAGGGTGACATTTGTATGTCCACATTTATGGGAAAATGTTTGCGCCAGGTTTCCAAAAACTGATTTACAAACAAACTCTTGGAAGAAAAAAACCTGATCTAAATTTGGAACTTCCTAGATTAGCTCCAGTTTTCAGCACATATTTTTCCTTTTGTTTGCACAAGTCATCTGGGGACGACTTTACTGAGGCTGCCTCTGCAGGGTTTTGCCTTTGGTTTCGAAGCCGCAGGAGAGGCACCTGTTGGGAGTCAGCCACCTAGGTGTCCAGGGGCCAAAGATAAAAAGGAGTCTCTGTAATCAAGAAAGGAGTTTTGGTTTCCACTTGGACTGAATTTTCTGGATGACTTTAAAATGCTGTCATCTGCCTGTGTAGAACTAACATCAGGTAGGTTCTGTTGAGTAAACTCTGCCTTTGTACCTTATTAATCATCTCATTTGTTGTGAGTATGAGACTTCCTTAAAAAAAAAACAAAACAAAACTAAATGGTGGGGGAGAGCGTAGCTCAATGACAGAGCGCGTGCTTGGTGTGCGTGAGACCCTGGGTTCAATCCCCAGGACCTCCACTAAAAATTTTAAAAAGTGAATGTTCAAAAAAAAAATAGTACAAAACCCAAACTTCCTAATTGGCACAACAGGAAGTGGTTCTCTGTGTTGGGCGGAATTAAGCATAGTGGTTGGATTTGCCCAGAACTCTTTGCTCCTGGAGCCTTCCTAACAGCAGCCTGGTGACCATGTATGAGAACATGGGTTTGGGACCTTTCTTCTGGTGGATTCACATGAAGGACGGGGCTGTTTCTTTAGGCTAATGAGCCATCACTGAAAAGCTTTCCTGGTGAATGCTGCTCTCAGGACGCAGCCTGGCTCCTGGGTCAGGGGCTCTAAGGGTCTCTGCTTTCTAGGCCAAATGGCTACAACAGCCAAGGTGTGCCTTCCACTGACACTGTAGCTCTTTTGTGCAGGAGGCTTGTAAGTGGCATTTTATGTAACGAATAATGACTGGTAGAGAGGGTACTTCCTGATACTTAATGACCAACTGGAGGAACTGTGAGCTTGAGGCAATGCATATAATATGCTGTTAAACTCTGAAATTTAAAAATGTAAAAAAAAAAATTACCTCCTTATGCATGTTACCATGGATACTAACTATTGTTTATAGTCTTCATCTTTTCCTAGAGGTTAAAGTCTAGTTGAGGAACCAATAGGAAAGAAGAACTTCAGACCCAATTTCCACTCACTTTTTAACGTCTGACATTACCCAGTTAGTGTGCGTTTAAGAAGGTGCACCTCACCCCCAGAATAGGATATGCAACATGTGATATGGATTGCCATAATAAGTATTCATATTTTATTGAACAGTTTGGCAATCAGTATCTAAAATCAGCTAACCTTGTAGATAATCACATTCTGTTTCCCCAGAAGGCCAGTAACTTTCATACCATTCTTTCCCAAGAATGAACCATTTTTCAGTCTTCAGATTGCATGCACATACTTTATGCATCAGTCACAGAAACACTTTCGCACTTGGGCCTATTATTACAATGCATAACTCAGAGATGAACACTGAGGCACGAAGGAGAAAACACGCAGAGAAGTACCTAATCCTTCGTTTACACAGCAGCTGTTTGTTCTGTTCTTTTTTGAATCACGGACCACTTTCTTTTTCCTAAACAACTCTTAGGGAAAGACAGGATGGAAGTAAGTCAATTTCACAACACTTCAGCAGTGCTGGCCCAAATTAATACCACTAACTCCTCATTGTCTACTCCAGGGATAGCAGAACTCTCGGGAAAACTTAAGAGACTTAATTTCATCTACAATTCCATACTTCCTCCTGCAAATATTTTTTCCACAGTTACTAGCAAGATTTATCTCCTTTTTTTCTTTATTCTATCATAATCAAATATTTATCAAATATTTAATACAGGACTACCATTTGTCTCTTCATTCATTCATTCATTTATCTCATTTATTTATCATGAGCCTTACAAAAACCTGCAAATGAAAAAGCCAAGATGCACCCTGAAGAAGGCTGTCTACTAAGGAGTTAGGCATGTAACATAAATTACACGTCACCCTTAAGCAACACAGGTGTGAACTATTCGGGGTCGTTATATGTGGACTTTTTTCAATAAACACTCGAGTGCTGCAGATCCGTGGTTGGCTGAATTCGCAGATGCGGAACCATGGGTACAGGGGGTTGGGGGTCAACTGTGGGACCTGAGCATCCTTGGATTTTGGTATCCTTGGCAGGTCCTGGAACCAAACCCCTGTGGATACTGCGGGATGACAGTACAGTTCTTCGCTGGAGGTGCTACGCTAGAGGTATGACCCGGTGCATCAGGAGCACAAAGAAATGGGACGAAGGTGAACGGCAGCTCTCCTGAGACTCAGGACAGTTTCTCAGAGGAGGTGACTTTCACTTGAGATGTGAACTGTTAACCCCTAGACACAATTACATAGTTATTATGATGAGTTTTCTTACCTGTTCTACTGGAATACGAAGATGGATAAATTCCTAAAGAAACTATAACTCGGGAGTGAAACACAAACATTTGATAGCAGTTATAAAACCCATTTTAATACACTTCCTGTCTAGATTTCCCCCTCCCCCCACAAATATTAAGTTCTATAAACAGTACTAAATTTGCATATAAAACAATGTCTTGACATGAGGACACCAGGTCTCCGGAGGAGGAGGTGGGTGCCTCCCGCAAGTGTTGATTTTCGCATTGAAAACACACAAGCACTACGTTTCTTGTCTTTATAAAAGCACGTGAGGAGAGTCCTGATACTTCCATTTGAATGATTTTTATCTAGAGACATGATCACACTCAGGGCCAGTGTGACGTATCTGGGTCCTGAGAATCAGATACAAGAAAAGCCGAGGTTCAGAGCAGGAGGGAAATAAAGGAATCAGAAGAGAGTTCATTCAGGAAGGCTGCCTGGTCCCCCTGAGCTTGAGCAAAACCTTTTGGGATGTCATGAACTACATTCACAGAGGAAGGCTAGCGTGGACCAAAGTGGCCAGACAGCACCCAGCCAGCCCTTGGGGATTCGGAAAGCAGATTAGCTTCCCTGGAACAGAAGGGCGGGCTGGTGGGCTGGCGGGGGAGTAAAGGGAACTCAGATTCACAGGACAAGAGGGGGAAGGGGAGCAGATGCCAAATGGCCTCTCACCAGCGTGCAGAGTGCAGATGGAGGGGTAAATCCTACTGTCCTTGGGACTTGGCACATACGTCACCTCTGGGTCACCTGCCCTGAGCTCCACCCCTCGCCTGATAGCCCTTCAAAATGGAAACCATCTGTTTACACCTTAGTCTCTTCACTCTGCCCGCATCCCCGGCTCTGATCTCCTGCCGGCCACGCAGTCACTCTGTCCTAGAGCACACCTGAAGCCTAGCACGGTGCCTGCCCAGGAATGCTGATTGGATGCTTCATTTATTCAGCCAAGAGCACCTGAGGGTCACCTGTACCAGCACCGTTCCAGCAGCCAAGGAAACAACGGGGAAAGACAGACCAGGTCCCTGATCACACAGGGCTCAGAGCTTACAGGCAGCAGGCATGAGGGAGCCATTCTAGACTCTGATGCACAGCTTACTGAAGAAACTGAGGGAGATTCTTTTGGATCTGAGTGTGGGGAGGATGCTGCCACTCAAGTCAGAGACTTCACCTGGGGGCTGCTGCCTTCTCCCACGTGTGAACAGGTGAGGAGCTAAATCTGGTATGATGAGAGGGAGAAGCAAGCCCAGGACACGATCCATCAAATGGTCAATAGGAGCTGAAAATGACCAAGTCACCAATGCTGGAAAAGCAGCCTTTTCAATGGAAAAGTCCAGGAGCAAGTGCGCAAGTGCTGGAAAGGAAGACACAAGGTACCACTGCAAGTATTTTGGCATCCAAATACATCCTGATGAGGCCAGCCGGAGGGCTGGTTTCAATATGCCCGTGGACCATCTCCCTGGGGCGGCTAACTCAATTGTGAGAGCCAGTGGAGGGAGACAGTCTAACCTAATTGAGAAAACACAGGGTCTGGGAGAAGCAAGCTCTAATTCAGGCTCTGACAGGACCTGGGCAGAATCACTCCCCTTAACTGCTCTGCTCTCCTCGCCTCACCAGCCACACCCACCCATAGCTCCCAGCCTCTGCAGCCCTCCGTACACGTGACTACCTTCAGAGCTGGGGAACATGAGGGGGTTCATTCTCACAGTCCGGTAACCAGAGACGTTTAGAGCTTCATGCAAACCATGAAGAACAGAGCTGGGAATGGTAGAAGATGGGGAGTAAAGAGGGGAGAGGGGGCCCCACTGGGACCACACACAATGACAGCATTCCTGGATGGATTAGCCCGTATGTCCCCTTCCAGTAAAAGATCTGAGAAGCTTGATCTCAAGTGGAAAAGCTAGCCCTGAAAGGACCATACGAAAAGGGGGAAAAGTTCTCAATTCTTTATTCAAGTCAAAAGAAGAGGCGGCGTGCCCAAGGTCCACAGCATCATTGTCAGAACTGGCCCATCAGGCTGAGACACGATGAGAGTCTCCAAGTGAACGTGTGTGCATTTTCTTTATACTTGTCACCTTCCTCATGCTCAGTGAGTAGGCTGCACAGAAGGGTTAGTGGTGGAGCATAGAGACCTCTCCTATTTAGTAAAATAATATAATCAGTGCTGAGTTGTACAAACTTGTCCAAGAAGCTTTCCGAACTCCCTCAGATCAATAACTTTTGGTCATAAAAGAACTCAGAGGAACCACCTTGTTCTTGTCCCAAAGGATCCCATGATGGGATGAGACAAGACATTTCTGGCTGATGAGACAAGGGCTGAACTTGAAGCTACCAGGAAGAAAAATGTGCTTTGTGGATCCATCCAGGCGCTCATATGTGAGTGGACATGTGTGCAGAGGGTGGGGACACCAATTCCACATTCCAGATCAGCCCTTGGCCCCCTCAAAACCTCCACAGAGTTTGGAGAGCTGTCATGAGATGACTATGAAGTCACAACTCAAGAAAAAAAGTTCCTAGATCTGGATAAAAATGATTGCCGTCCAGTTTTTGCATTTGCCCACAGAATGCAGACCTTGGCATATATCTGAATTATTACACATCTACCTTATGGGTGTGGTTCAGTTTCAAGAACTGACTGGACTGAAAAATACAAGCCATGCCTGCAAACAAGGCACCAAACCTTAGGACTCCAGGACATGAACAGAGAAACCTACATATGTTCTGTAAGATTCTGACCATATATCAAAACTCTGCGGGATATCGGCCTCTACTCCACTCCATGAAAATGCGTTCTCCTTGACGAAATGGCCAAAATCCAAACTGAGACTTGAGAGCAGGGCTGGAAATCTGGCATCTGAAGTGAGAAGTGCCTCGACTGAAAGTATCGAGGGACTCTCACCCAGTTCACTTTGCTTCATTTACATGCATATTTAATCAAAATCAATTGACAACTAAAAAAAGTCAATTGACAACTCATGGGAGGCTCATAATTATGGTTTGGTATTAATAAGACTGACTACTTTTTAGAACCCAAGTTTTTCCATTCAGAGACCTCACTAGCCTGTGAATACAAATCATCTCCTCTAGTTGTAACCCAAGCTTCACGGGCTGCTGCAGGTCACGTTCTCAGGGAAGCAGTTGATTAAGGAGTGCTCTTGTGATCAATACTGGAGAAGAGAGAGGGGAAAGCAGGATTAGGTAGAGGGAGACGTCGAGATGTGATGCAGTCGCCAGCCAGCCCACCTGGAGCTCTGATCTGGGGCAGCCTTTTAGAGTTGTCCCAAATGAGGGCCAGAGCACCATTCAATGCAGGTTGTCCCTAGAAGGAGGTATGAGCTTCAGGTCACCAGGCAGATGTCTTTACATGAGGCACACCCCACAGGCTAACAGGTGAGGGCCACCTTCTCACAGCCCTCCCGGCAGCTGGGGAGGAATAAGACCATTCCTGAATAGGGATCTTCCTGGATGGGAATCCAGCTGGTGCATCAATACATCCACCGCGGTCCTCCCCACCACCACCCCACCTTGCAACACTTGGATCCTCTTCTCATAGGTTCTGGGAAAAGCTCCACCAAGATACCAGTGAGCCTCTGATCCTCGAGGGAACTTAGAAGAGGAGGATTAGGGGAATAAATTATAGATGATGCTACCACTGGTTTCAGGATGTCAACTCATACCCACCTTCTCCCTCCTCTGTTATCCGCTGAAGATTTCCCTTACTCTCAGCATGCTCCTCTGCTGATCTCAAGGGCTTGCTTGGTGGTGAGACCAGAACCTCATCCCTGAGGGGTCTGAGCCCCTGGCCATGATGGCCCTCTCGGGCTGTGGTCTACTGTCTGTCAGAGTTGGAGAAGGTGGTACCAAGAGGTACCCAAGTAGGTCACTAGGTTCTGCAATATTCCTCCTCCCTGTGCATGCCGGCAGCCCTCTCTCCCCCTGATGGCCAGGCTTAGTGATCCCTTCCAAGACAGGGACTCCTCCTTTTGCCTGTTGGCCCCTTGGTTCAGTTGCATTTATAGTTCAACGGGGCAGTGCTGCACCCCCTGTTAGAAGCATTCCCCCTTCAGAATCCAGGACCTTAGAACCCACAGAGCTCAGTGTCATGAGGCTAGAAGCCCAAATTCCTCCACCAGGTCACTGGGAGTGATGGTCGTTGGTAGGATGGCTCTTGCTTCTACCCCTTGGTTCCTGGACTCCTGCATTCTACCCACTGGGAACAGCGCCATAGAAAGCTCTTTAACTTAAAGTCTCCTGTGCCTCCTGGAGGATGGTGCTCCATCCTCACAAAGCCCACAGCTCCTCTGCTGGACAGCGTGTTCCCTGGTCTGATGTGATACTATCTTGGATCCCGCGATGGTGGGTTTAACACGGTATGAGCCTTGTGGTGCCAGCTGAGGCATGAAGGGCAGGAAGGAGCCGGAATATGTGTCCATTCACGGTAAAAATGAGCCACTGTCTCTTCCAGGGTGGAGGATGCCCAGGCAGTCAGCTTGCCAGTGTCTGGCTGGTTTTCTCAAGGGGTGCTGCTACCCTGTGGATTCTGACTCACTCTCTGCCGTGGGAACATTAGCCATTTGGCAGGAGCAGTAGCTGGCAAAGTTTTGGTAAATGGAGCCCAGGCTAGTGGGCCTCTATGTAGCCTCCATCCCTGCCACCATGGCTCTTCTACTCATGGCCCGTTGTGCTCACACAGCAATGGCTGGTGACAGAGACTGGCTGCCATCAGTGGGCTAGTCATCTGGTCTACTCACACGCTGCGTGCCTCCTTCTGCAGGTGCTAACATGTGACAGCAAGACCCTCACACATATGCCCTCTCATAGGT